CAGTTTTCCCTCCTGCTATAATCGTCAGCAGTTCAGATGAGGCTGAAATACACATACGCTGAATATATACACACTTTATCTTACAGTTTCATTGTTACACGTTACATGTAGCTACTGTAGTAATAACTATACATTATTTATAATTACATGAAACTAACCCTAAACCAAACCCCAATCCTAACTCTAACCCTATAGTAAATACATGTTGTTAATTAATATTACTCAGTACTTAAATGCATAATTACACTGTAACATGGACACCTTACAATAAAGTGTAACCCTTTATTTTAAGGTGTCCTTGTTACAGTTTAATTACACATTTAAATACTGAATAATATTTATAAACAAATTGTACTTACTATAGTATTAGGGTTAGGGTTTGGTTTAGGGTTAGCTGCATGATTTAATTATGATAATTATACATAATTTACTGCAGTAAGTAAGTACATGTAACACGTGTAACAATGTCACTGTAAAATAAACGGGTTACACTTTATTTGAAGGTGTCAGTGTTACAGTGTAATTATATATTTAAGTACTGAGTAATATTAATCAACTACATGTATTTACTATAGGGTTAGGGTTTGGTTGAGGGGTATTTGCATGCAATTATGCATAAGTTACTGTTTTTACTATAGTAACTACATGTAACATATGTAACAAGGGCACTGTAAGATAAAGTGTTACCAATAAATGTTCCCTGAACTGTTGACTGAAATCAGCTAAAAGTTAAGCCGAACTCAGATATTACATTTGATTTAGAAATTTGAATGAACACAAACCTCTCGCAGCGCCTCCCAGTGGCGACTCCCTGACACTGCAGCAGTTTTTACCTGTTCCACAGACTCAGTCTCTCAGTCTCACAGTCTCAGTCTCAGTCTCACAGTCTCAGTCTCAGTCTCACAGTCTCACAGTCTCAGTCTCACAGTCTCACAGTCTCAGTCTCAGTCTCACAGTCTCACAGTCTCACAGTCTCAGTCTCACAGTCTCTCAGTCTCACAGTCTCAGTCTCACAGTCTCACAGTCTCACAGTCTCTCAGTCTCACAGTCTCACACTCACAGTCTCACACTCACAGTCTCAGTCTCACAGTCTCACAGTCTCACAGTCTCAGTCTCACAGTCTCACACTCACAGTCTCAGTCTCAGTCTCAGTCTCTCAGTCTCTCAGTCTCACAGTCTCTCAGTCTCACAGTCTCACACTCACAGTCTCAGTCTCACAGTCTCTCAGTCTCACACTCACAGTCTCACAGTCTCACACTCACAGTCTCAGTCTCACAGTCTCACAGTCTCTCAGTCTCTCAGTCTCACAGTCTCACAGTCTCTCAGTCTCACAGTCTCACAGTCTCTCAGTCTCACAGTCTCACAGTCTCACAGTCTCAGTCTCACAGTCTCACAGTCTCAGTCTCACAGTATCTCAGTCTCACAGTCTCACAGTCTCACAGTCTCACAGTCTCAGTCTCTCAGTCTCACAGTCTCAGTCTCACAGTCTCTCAGTCTCACAGTCTCACAGTCTCACAGTCTCACAGTCTCTCAGTCTCAGTCTCACAGTCTCAGTCTCACAGTCTCAGTCTCTCAGTCTCACAGTCTCAGTCTCACAGTCTCTCAGTCTCACAGTCTCACAGTCTCTCAGTCTCAGTCTCTCAGTCTCAGTCTCACAGTCTCAGTCTCAGTCTCACAGTCTCTCAGTCTCACAGTCTCACAGTCTCACAGTCTCACAGTCTCACAGTCTCTCAGTCTCACAGTCTCTCAGTCTCAGTCTCACAGTCTCTCAGTCTCACAGTCTCTCAGTCTCACAGTCACAGTCTCTCAGTCTCTCAGTCTCACAGTCTCTCACTCTCACAGTCTCAGTCTCTCAGTCTCACAGTCTCTCAGTCTCACAGTCACAGTCTCTCAGTCTCACAGTCTCTCACTCTCACAGTCTCAGTCTCTCAGTCTCTCAGTCTCTCAGTCTCTCAGTCTCTCAGTCTCTCAGTCTCACAGTCTCAGTCTCTCAGTCTCAGTCTCACAGTATCTCAGTCTCACAGTCTCAGTCTCTCAGTCTCACAGTCTCACAGTCTCACAGTCTCAGTCTCACAGTAGTCTCACAGTCTCACAGTCTCAGTCTCACAGTCTCACAGTCTCTCAGTCTCAGTCTCACAGTCTCAGTCTCAGTCGCACAGTCTCTCAGTCTCACAGTCTCACAGTCTCACAGTCTCACAGTCTCTCAGTCTCATAGTCTCTCAGTCTCTCAGTCTCTCAGTCTCTCAGTCTCTCAGTCTCTCAGTCTCAGTCTCAGTCTCACAGTCTCACAGTCTCACAGTCTCAGTCTCTCAGTCTCTCAGTCTCTCAGTCTCAGTCTCTCAGTCTCTCAGTCTCAGTCTCAGTCTCTCAGTCTCTCAGTCTCACAGTCTCTCAGTCTCACAGTCTCAGTCTCTCAGTCTCAGTCTCTCAGTCTCACAGTCTCAGTCTCTCAGTCTCAGTCTCTCAGTCTCAGTCTCACAGTCTCTCAGTCTCAGTCTCTCAGTCTCAGTCTCACAGTCTCAGTCTCACAGTCTCTCAGTCTCAGTCTCTCAGTCTCACAGTCTCACAGTCTCTCAGTCTCAGTCTCTCAGTCTCAGTCTCACAGTCTCAGTCTCAGTCTCACAGTCTCTCGGTCTCACAGTCTCACAGTCTCACAGTCTCACAGTCTCACAGTCTCATAGTCTCTCAGTCTCACAGTCTCTCAGTCTCAGTCTCAGTCTCACAGTCTCTCAGTCTCACAGTCTCTCAGTCTCACAGTCACAGTCTCTCAGTCTCACAGTCTCTCACTCTCACAGTCTCAGTCTCTCAGTCTCACAGTCTCTCAGTCTCACAGTCACAGTCTCTCAGTCTCACAGTCTCTCAGTCTCACAGTCTCAGTCTCTCAGTCTCACAGTCTCAGTCTCTCAGTCTCAGTGTCAGTCTCACAGTATCTCAGTCTCTCAGTCTCACAGTCTCACAGTCTCAGTCTCACAGTAGTCTCACAGTCTCACAGTCTCAGTCTCACAGTCTCACAGTCTCTCAGTCTCAGTCTCACAGTCTCAGTCTCAGTCGCACAGTCTCTCAGTCTCACAGTCTCACAGTCTCACAGTCTCTCAGTCTCATAGTCTCTCAGTCTCACAGTCTCACAGTCTCACAGTCTCAGTCTCACAGTCTCTCAGTCTCACAGTCTCAGTCTCTCAGTCTCTCAGTCTCACAGTCTCTCAGTCTCACAGTCTCAGTCTCTCAGTCTCTCAGTCTCTCAGTCTCTCAGTCTCTCAGTCTCTCAGTCTCAGTCTCAGTCTCTCAGTCTCAGTCTCACAGTCTCAGTCTCAGTCTCTCAGTCTCTCAGTCTCAGTCTCACAGTCTCACAGTCTCACAGTCTCAGTCTCACAGTCTCTCAGTCTCACAGTCTCAGTCTCTCAGTCTCTCAGTCTCTCAGTCTCTCAGTCTCTCAGTCTCACAGTCTCTCAGTCTCACAGTCTCAGTCTCTCAGTCTCTCAGTCTCTCAGTCTCAGTCTCACAGTCTCATAGTCTCACAGTCTCACAGTCTCAGTAAAGCTCACGAGTTCTGGAAGAAATAGGTCAGCATGAGAGGAGCGCTGCTTTATCATTATAATGTGAGGGATTATCTGAGGTTTATTGAGGAAAAAGATTGACTATATGGTTTTTGTTTTATCTGTACGCTTGAGAAGATAAAGGTTTTTCCAGGGAGGATGAAGGATCCTGGGAGTGACGTTTAATGTGGTTAATTACAGCTGGAAGTGTCATAGGCTTTAGATAAGACAGACGGAGCGGCCGGCTCTGTGGAATAAAGAGTTCAAGTCCTTATCTTGTAATGTTTCATTTCATCTGTCAAATAGTGACGTCAAAAAGAATTTATTTCAGAAGAAACATTCATCTCACCTTTTGTCATTAGAGAAAAACATTGTCACCAAAACTTTTTATTTCATTTTATTTTGAATGTGTTGTCTGGGATTTTTATAAATTTTTTATCACTGCGATTTTTATGATCTTTAGATCTGAACATTGATTAAAGTTCCAGACTTAATAGCGATGCTCTTCCTCTTCCTGTGTTTCTGTTTTCTTGGAGAAGCAAAATTACTGAAGATATTAAGTCTTCTTTATTGAAAATCAAAATGAATAGAGTTTAATCTTAAAATAATTACAAATATCTGCCAATGAGGTCAGAATAATAAACTTAATTCAAAGAGAAAACAAGATTATTCTGAGCTCATTGGCAGTCAACTCTCTTCATTTAGATTTTTCATTAAACAAGACGTAATATCTTCAGTCTTGATGCTTCTCCGGGAAATGTGTCTTGATTTAAGAATGTTTAGATATTTGTGCTGGAAAACAGGACAGAAACACTGAGGAAGAACAGCATTATTTCACTGCAGCTTCTGCCGTCTATCAAACGTTTCAAGATCTGTAAAATCAGTACTAACGTTTTTTAAGATCATGACTATTAGTTACTCTACTCGCAGAATGAGAGAGAGAGAGAGAGAGAGAGAGAGAGAGAGAGAGAGAGAGAGAGAGAGAGAGAGAGAGAGAGAGAGAGAGAGAGAGAGAGAGAGAGAGAGAAGGGAGAGAAATCGGTCAGAGTAATCGATAGTTCACCCCAAACTGAAACTCTGTCAGTAATGACTCTCCCTCATGATGTTCAACCCCGTAAGACTGTCGTTCATCTTCGGGACACAAATTAAGATATTTGTGATTAAATCTGAGAGCTGGATCAGTCCTCCATAGGCTTCTAAGTTTGGGGTGAACTATCCCTTTAACTGACATTACAGAAAGATGTTTGAGCGACCAGAGTCTGAGGATCAGAATATTTCAAACTTCTGTGTGTCGCTTACAGAATAGAGTTACGACTGAAGAAGATTAACTGTCCACCGCATGTACAATCAAAGTTCCTTAACAGACGTTTAATTTACTCATTTATTTATGCAAATTAAGTCTTAATGTGCACCAGTAGAAATGTTCCATGTGAAATAAGTTTCTGTCTTTATTTCTGTCTGTATAAGCTCCCACTGAATCTCCTCTGCGGCCCAGTCTAGGTGAGTACACACACACACACACACACACACACACACACACACACACACACACACACACACACACACACACACACACACACACACACACACACACACACACACACACACACACACACACACACACACACACACACACACACACACACACACACACACACACACACACACACACACACACACTCTCTCTCACTGTGTTCTCTCTCATGCTCGTCTCCAGCTGTGGTTGATGGTGATCACGCTGTTCTCCGAGATGATTTCGAACACAACACACAGGAAGAGCTGAATCTCAGTATCTGGTGGGTGCCGCGCTTTTTTCTTTAGCAGTGAAGCTGCTTCCCTGTTCCTGTGTGTGTGTGTGTGTGTGTGTGTGTTGTATTAGTGCATATAGACAGCAGGAAGATGAGTGTGTTGTTGTCTCAGGTCGGACTGCAGTAGCTGTGAGGTGGGAGAGCAGTGTGGAGTGATCATGCACAGGAGAGCCGTGACCTTCTGTGAGCCCTTCGGACAGAGAGATCTGGTAACTGACTCATAAAAACAGATGTAATCGAGTAAATATACAATATATACTTCGCTTGGTTTTTCCATTCACCCATCATGTTTTACAGATCATAGTGGGGATTGAATAATGTGTGGAGTTACACTGTCATATGGATGTTAGTGTGACACACTCAACAGAATATAATACAAAGAATTATACAATTAGTTTAACCAATTTACATATAAATAAAACAAAAGCCATGCAGTCGCGCCACGCCACCAGAGACGGTTCTGTCTTCCTATAGTGCCGTGACTCGTCTGCAGTCTTCATATACTGACACATGATCCCTGTGTGATGTTGTGATCTGTTTCAGACCTCGGTGGCGCTGAACACGAGCGCAGCGTCAGTCCTGCAGTTCTCTTTAGGTGAGCATCACCATCTCTCTCACACACATACTATATGCTTATGCTCAGTGGTTCTGTCTAGTTTTCCAGAACAAATATCTAAATATTCTTCAAGCAAGATACTGCACATGCATTACATAAGGAAAATACCTCCTCCCTCCCCAGCTCCTCCTGTCTCAGTCAGGATGGCAGTCGGATTCCCCTTCAATCAGAATAAGCTTTTGAATTATGTTGTACTTTAAAATCTTGAATGAATGATATCTGCAATACATTGATGTTGGTTCTGGTCTGTTTCCCCTAAGGAGGGTTGTTGCTGCTATTTGACGATAGTGGTCCTGACAGAAATAAAAGAAAAAGAACAAACACACCCAAAAGAAAAACAAAAGAAAAAAGGCACAGATGAATTAAATTCAGTTAGCTCTACATTAAGAAGAGTTGGAAATAGTCATGCATACAAGAGAAGCATATCATGATATAAAAAGGGGTAATTTAGTTGTAAATGATTAAATGATTAATGGTTTGGTAGCAAGAAAATGTGAAAATAAGTTGGGAATCAAGCTATTTCATGTCCTTATATCTTATTCATTATATTACTAAAATCAGAGTTTGAAATAAAGGATATAAAAGGTTTCCAAATATTCTCAACATTTGTTCTTGTTTTAAGTACAAACTCACTTCAATTTGATGCATTTTTCTAGAAAACAAGTCTTAATATCTTCAGTCATGTCCCTTCCCCAGTAAATATATCTTGATTTAAGTGTGTTTAGATGTTTGTGCTGGAAAACAGGGTTTGTTCATGCAGATGAATGTCTATGTGGTGATGGAGCGGAGCGATGGTTCATGAGTTTGTGTGTTTGTGTTCCTCAGGATCTGGTTCGTGTCGGTTCAGTTACTCAGACCCCAGTATCATCGTCTCCTGCGGTCTGAACACCTCTGATGACTGGATAACCTTGGAAAAGATCAGGTTTTTATCTTATTTTAGGACACGGATCACATACACCAGAGGTGTAAAGAGTCTGAGTAAAAGTACAGATACCGTACAGCGAATATGACTCAATTACAAGTACTCGAGTATCTGATCTTAACAGTACCTTTACTCCTTACTAGTATTTTACTCCTACTGAATGTAGGCTCAAAGATGCACCTCGACACCTAAGAGTCATGCCAGTCAAAATAAACAATTGATTTGTCAAAAAATGATTTGTCAAAAAATCTAAATAAAACTGAACACCTAAATATTGAAATAAATAAAGGTCAACACAACAGCCTCTTAAACATCTACAAACTCTTGAGTCTCAGTTAAGCTCAAGTGCACAAAAAGGCCATAAGTAAACCAATATCCTTCAAAAAGGTATCATAAATATAGTGGATAAAATAAAATAATGTTAAGTAAAATTAAATAGTCAATGGATGTACTGGTTTCGGCCTCATCATGATCTCATCTCCTAAATCAAACACCTGTGATTCAGTAACTACCTGCTAATGCACTCGCATTCACGAAAAGTAGCATTGTTGACCAAGTTTGGGTGAGTAAAGGCAAAACACACAAGATATAGTACCGCCAGTGCCCTTAGACCGCAATATCGCTGCTTTATAGCAGAAACAAACTGCTACAGGAAAGGTGAGGTGCCATGCTAAGTGTAATGTGTGGTTCATCTGTGGATCTCTTCAGTGTTGTTGTTCTGGTCTGGCAGGGCTCCCACTAACACCAGTACTGTGGTTCATCTGGTGCCGCTGGTCGCCGGCTGTCGAGGCGAGTCTGTGCATCTGCGCTGGAGCCAGGAGCCGGCCCCGGGGCCCGACGGATACGAGTCCTGCTGGGGTCTGGACAACATACTGGTTCTGAACGGCGCTGAGCGGCCGCCGCTGCTGGAGGACAACCTGGACCCGCTGGACACGGCCAACTGGCTCTTCTTCCCAGGAGCCACCGTCAAGGTCACAACAGAGCTTGTTATGCCAATAATGAAAGACTATATTTAAGTGTGAACTAGATGTAATGTTTTCAGACACTTAATTGACACTCATGTTAATTGCAATTAGATGAGAATGTATTATAGTCTGAATTCCTACTGTCACGGCCTGCACGTTCCCCACCGTAACATAAAGAGGATTACACATACAGTACAAACAAACGGTTTGCATTGCAAGATTATTTAATAAGAAAAAAAATGATTTGTAAAAATGAATGAGTTACAAACATATAACACCATGTCTAGGGATTTAAATAACCAAGAGAAAATACTAGTCCAATGGGACTTTTATTTATAATTTTACTTTTATTTTACTTATATTTATAATTACACATTTACAATGATGATGTTGCGATTTAGACATTCAAAATATTAACTTGAAATGTAAATATTGAAAAAGACACTAGTTTGAATTATAATCAAGTGCCGGACATGCCCTTCAGTATGTTAGTCAACACATCAAAATAAGTGCACAACAATTTAAAATGTTCTTTAAAGTTCAACTTAATTTGACATTATTACAAAGTGCACTAATAAAGTGTGTTAAGAGACAGTTATGAAAGTGTGCTCTTTAAGTGGCCTTTTATTTCATTAATATCGCATTATCTGCATAAGTGCAGTTTTTAAATATATACTTTTAAGATATGAAGTACACTACAAGTGCACATTCAGTGCACCTCTTCTCACCAGGGATTGTGATTGGATCAAGGCAGAGGCAGACGCTCATTTCTTCACCGTCGCCACTTTTTTTATGCAGTTTTGTCAGGATCCTCTGTAACTCTTCCTCTCGATCCCCTCAACAGCATGCGTGTCAGTCGGAGGGAAACTCCCTGTATTTCCATGGTGGAGAAGGACTGGAGCACAGCTTCGCCTCCACGCGTGACGTGGAGGAAGACTTCGAGAGTCCACTGTCTGGGTAAGAGAGGCTTATGAGGTGTCGGACTGCATTGTGTGGGGAGGGTGGATGAGGTGTGTGGTTGATGAGGAGTGTGTTTGATGAGGGGAGTGTGTTGATTGAGGAGTGAGGATTGGAGTAGGAGTGGGTTAGTATGAGGAGTGTGGTTGATGAGGAGTGTGGGTGATGAGGAGTGTGTTGATGAGGAGTGTGTTGATGAGGAGTGTGTTGATGAGGAGTGTGTGGATGAGGAGTGTGTTGATGAGGAGTGTGTTGATGAGGAGTGTGTTGATGAGGAGTGTGTTGATGAGGAGTGTGTTGATGAGGAGTGTGTGGATGAGGAGTGTGTTGATGAGGAGTGTGTTGATGAGGAGTGTGTTGATGAGGAGTGTGTTGATGAGGAGTGTGTGGATGAGGAGTGTGTTGATGAGGAGTGTGTTGATGAGGAGTGTGTTGATGAGGAGTGTGTTGATGAGGAGTGTGTTGATGAGGTGTGTGTTGATGAGGAGTGTGTTGATGAGAAGTGTGTTGATGATGAGTGTGTTGATGAGGAGTGTGTTGATGAGGAGTGTGTGTTGTTGATCTGCAGATGGGAGGTGTACGGAACTCAGTGTGGGGAGGTGGATGAGGAGTGTGTTGATGAGGAGTGTGTTGATGAGGAGTGTGTTGATGAGGTGTGTGTTGATGACGAGTGTGTTGATGAGGAGTGTGTGGATGAGGAGTGTGTTGATGAGGAGTGTGTGGATGAGGAGTGTGTTGATGAGGAGTGTGTGGATGAGGAGTGTGTTGATGAGGAGTGTGTGGATGAGGAGTGTGTTGATGAGGAGTGTGTTGATGAGGAGTGTGTTGATGAGGAGTGTGGTGATGAGGAGTGTGTTGATGAGGAGTGTGTTGATGAGGAGTGTGTTGATGAGGAGTGTGTTGATGAGGTGTGTGTTGATGAGGAGTGTGTTGATGAGGTGTGTGGTGATGAGGAGTGTGTTGATGAGGTGTGTGGTGATGAGGAGTGTGTGGATGAGGAGTGTGTTGATGAGGAGTGTGTTGATGAGGAGTGTGTTGATGAGGAGTGTGTTGATGAGGAGTGTGTTGATGAGGAGTGTGTTGATGAGGAGTGTGTTGATGAGGAGTGTGTGTTGTTGATCTGCAGATGGGAGGTGTACGGAACTCAGTGTGGGGAGGTGGATGAGGAGTGTGTTGATGAGGAGTGTGTTGATGAGGAGTGTGTTGATGAGGTGTGTGTTGATGACGAGTGTGTTGATGAGGAGTGTGTGGATGAGGAGTGTGTTGATGAGGAGTGTGTTGATGAGGTGTGTGTTGATGACGAGTGTGTTGATGAGGAGTGTGTGGATGAGGAGTGTGTTGATGAGGAGTGTGTTGATGAGGAGTGTGTTGATGAGGAGTGTGTTGATGAGGAGTGTGTTGATGAGGAGTGTGTTGATGAGGAGTGTGTTGATGAGGAGTGTGTTGATGAGGAGTGTGTTGATGAGGTGTGTGTTGATGAGGAGTGTGTTGATGAGGAGTGTGTTGATGAGGAGTGTGTGGATGAGGAGTGTGTGGATGAGGTGTGTGTTGAT